GTTAGTCGATAGAAAAACTTGTTTTTAGGACTTTGAACTGATTGTCTCTAGATAGAAGACTCTATATTTGATGATATAATAATTTTCATGTGTATTTTATCAAGCAATTTTGTTACTTCTTTTTATAGCATAAACATGAAAATTCAACTAGAAAATATAACATCGACTTTTAAAAGCATAAACATGAAAATTCAGCTAGAAAATATAACATTGATACTATTTTTAAAAGTAAAAATTTGTGAATTGTAATTTTCAATAATTATAATCTAACTTATATTTTATATGTACTATCATAGGTAACAGGTGCAGGTCATGGCATTGGAAAAGAATTAGCGATTGGCTACGCTTTGTTAGGGGCAACAGTGGTATGTTGGGATAAGAATGAAGAAAATACCAACCAGACAATGGACGATATTAAAAAAATGGGACTAGATTCTGTACATGCATATCGGTAAATTAATACTGTTTTTTTTACAAGATTCAGATAAAATGAAAAAAGTATTCAAATATATAATTAACATGTGCACAACTACAATACTTGTAAACTATAAAGTAAAATTATCAGTATGGATTAAAGTTTAATCGGGTTTGACAGATGTAATGTAGCAGATAGGGAAGAAGTCTTCCGGGTAGCGGAGAAAGTAAAAAAAGAAGTGGGTGATGTTACTATCTTGATCAACAACGCCGGTGTAGGAATTGCTAAATTGTTACTAAATCAAAGCTTCGACGATATTGAACGAGTTATAGACGTCAACCTGAAAGCGCATTATTGGGCAAGTAATATAATCTGTCGAAGAAACGGATAGATGAATTTTTGCTTTGAATATATATATGACATTGTAGAGATATTGTAGATAATGTAGATTAAAATAAAAGACAAGTTTTTACAAATGAATTCTTACGCGTGTTAAAAGGAAAAATGCTTCTTTGGAAGAATTTAATTTTTTTAAGCATTTATCATCAAAATGATATGTTAAAATCGGGAAGATATTTGGGTTTTCTCATAAAACACATGTTGATATCTCGTAATATAACAAATTTAAAAAAATAAATGTAACTGTATTTGCTTGCCGCTTGTAATTTAAATATATACCGTATGATTTGGACGAGCATGTACTTAACTAAACTTTTATTCGTTGTTTACAAAGGAATACTATTTCCAGACATTACGAGCATTCTTGCCAAATATGATAGAAAAAAATCACGGTCATGTTGTGGCAATTTCGTCAATAGCAGGACTTTTTGGAAGTTCTTATGGAACGGTCTATTGCGCTACAAAAAGCTCAATTAAAAGTAATTTATCTTATATGTATTTAACGATATTATGATATAATATAATGATAGAATATTATATGAACTGTATAACTAATATAGTATAACTGTATACTAATAAAGATAAATACATAAATATATGTTTACATACATACACACACAAATGAAAAAGAAAAAATATATATACACTGCTCAAAAAAATTATGGAATAGAAAAATTTTGGGCAAAAATTGGTCAACTTTGGCTAACGATAACTCCGCGAAAAACCATCGTAGGATGATGAACTTTTTTTTAAATAAAAGTTTAAAATCTCTACTTTAAGGAACTGTCGATTTTAAATTTCATGCACTCCTGTTACGGTAAACTTTTAAATCTGAGAGCATGTTTGCCATACTGAAAATTGCAAAGTTTGACGAAATGTACGGACTTGCTGAAATTTTTCTCGGGGATGCGGTTTGCAGCGTCATAAAGTTTGAACCTTTCTCTATAATTTGAAAAAAAAAAAACAAGTCGTTAGGATATTTTTTTCACAAAGTTACAGCATTTTGAAGTAACTCTTGTATTTTTCTCATGTATGATCGGCATTACTCGATGTGCCATAGGGATGTGCCACCATAGGGAGGTTGACGATCGGATTTTGCACATTGTGTGTGTAACAGTATAAATATATACATAACACCTTGTATATGTGTACATACATTTCTTATACATAACTATATAAAATAACAAACTAACAGTGAAGTATATACTATCATAAAGATGTATATACTATCATAAAATACACCTTTTTACATATTTTAATATATGTATTCTAGCTATGATGGAAGCTGTATCTGAAGAATTACGTGCATTAAGTAACGGAAAATCATCTGTTAAAT